TGAAGGGAGAAAAGACTTAACATCACCAGGATGAGTGGAAGCAATTAGGAGGATTTAAATTACTCTCTTGTTTGGTACAAGGCAGATGGATTTCACTTTTCTTGCCATCATGCTCAACTTCTTGCTCTGCTATTAGCTTCAAGAGGACTTCTCTTCAGCACTGCATTAGACCCAAAGACCTGGCCTTCTAGGTTGGTTAGCCCTGCAGGCAGCATCACCTTCCGTTCTGGACACACACAGTTTCTGATCTGGACCATAAATATTGGTGATTGTAGCAGCTTTTCATCCTTAAAGGGGGCGGGAAGTACACAACTGCATAGGGGAAAGGAGTCTACCAGGGCAACCCTCAACAGGAAGACAGATGCTGCAATACGCAGAGGAGGGCTTTACCGCAAACCTGATTTTCTTTTCAGAGGCTGGAGAAGGGAAGATGGAAGAGAGTCGAAACACAGACGGTCTGGTCTCAGAAACACTGTATCAGTCCTGAACATTATACCTTTAAGCACAGCTTATTTTTTCTCTCTGCTTTTTGGTCTATTTTAGGACAAGCTAGACATAAGCCATCTTCTTACCAGAAAGGACAAAGCAAATAGGACCTCTGCGGTGTCTGGCGTGGACGGGGCCAGCCATGAGTTATCGTCCTCACCCAGCCAAGGTGCTGGAGAGAGCATTACTGCTGCTTCTTCGCTGTGCAGGCCACAAGCTGAGAGGGAATGGGCAGCACGACGTTATGCTGCCAGGGAGCACTGCTGTTTCGGAGATGTAGAATGAACAAACAGATCCAAATTGTTTCACATGAGAAAAAGCTGCACAAGAATAAAAACCCTGCTGCGCAAAGGAGGGACAAAGGGAGAGCAGACCTTTGCAAATCTCCAGCAGGGAGAACATACAACTTCTGCATCCCTCTGATTCAGAGCCCATAGCCTGACCTACCTCAGGGCACTGCCTGCAAAGGATCAACAGCAGCAGGGTGGAAGGAGGTTCCGTCCACACCTCTTAACCCTCCAGCAGCTAAAGAGATGGCTGCAGCATAAGGTTATCTTTCTGCATGACAGTAGTTGTCCCTGGGAAGAGGTGCACAGCTGTGGGTGTATCCTGCCACCACAGCAGGAGGGTGCTGGATTACACTAACCTTAGGACACACAACTGTAGTAAGCAATACCTGATATGAGCACTACAATCCTTCCTAACTCCCAAAACCATAGACTGCTACATGACAGAAAACAGGCCATTTTAGCTGATGCTACATCCTCACTTGCTTTGACCGGCTCTCTTCTGCCAAGATTACTTCAGCAGCTTTAAAAGCTGAGCAGTCACATCTCCTTGGGCTTTATACCTGCAAAACGTTCTCAAAGTGGAGCAGGGCCAATTTGTTAGTTCCTGCTTTCAATTAGAATTAATTGATCCGTAATTGCACCCATAGAGGGGAAGAGTTAATAGACAGTAGTAAATGCCAAATCCCCAGAAGAACTGGCTCTCCAGGCCCCTGCCTCGAGCAACTCCATCTCCTCTTAATAGCATTACAATACAATTCCGATGGGTGTGTGTGGGGGGGGGGGGGGAATGAGGGAGACAACAA